CCAGACCCCACACCTGTAAGAATTTCACCTTACACAGTGAGGGACAGTGAAGGTTGCTAATTAGCTGCCCTCAGACGGGGAGACACCTGGATCCTGTGGGTGAGCTCAGGTGACGACAGGGTTCTGGATGGGACACAGGAGAGGGCGCCCTAGTGATGCCCGGTGACCGGGAGCTGGACACAGGGAGCACATGGCTTCTCCCCTGCAGCCTCCAGGAAGGAACCCAGCCCTGCCGAGACCTTGAGTCGAGCCCAGTGAGGCCTCCAGAGCTGCAGGATAGTAACTTTGTGTTGTTTTGAGCCACCGAGTTTGTGGTGATTTGTGATAGCAGCCATAGACTTGAATCCATAACTAAGACACGTTCCCCGCCCTCGGGAACTGCCCCCCAGTCATGCACAGCATGCTGAGTGCAGCAGAACAGAAGAACGGGGCCCTGTGGGGCCAGGGAGGGCACCTGATGAGACTGGGACTGTCCGGGAAGGCGTCTGGCAGCAGTGGCCCAAAGATCAAGTCCAAGTTGGCCAGTTGGAAGGGTAGGCTGTTGAATGCTTGGGCCGCAGGGGTGCTGAGCTCGGGGGGATAGAAGACACAGCCGCAGCACAGAGTGCCAGAGGGGGTGAGGTGGGGATACTGGAGGCTGGACAGGGCTGCATCCGCAGGATACAACAGCTCCGAGGGCACGGTGAGGGGCGGGGTTTCGTGGGCTTGGCAGCCAGGAGAGTGGCGGGGGCTGAGTGGGGCTCATGCTGGCGTGTGGGGGTTCCACCCGTGTGGCTGTGTGGGGGGACTTAAGGTGGGGGCAGGGAGGAGAGCCCAGCGGGGAGAGGACAGGACGCAGCTGGCGCCTGGAGGAGACGCTTGCTGAACTGGGGCTGTGTGACTGCAAGGCCTGTGTTTGGCCATCGGTTGAGGTGCTGAGAAAGTGTCTGGAACTGCGTAGTGAACAGTCAGTGTAGTTATCCTCAACATCTCTAATTGGTCTTTTCCTGTGATCGCTTTGTCATATCTTGCCTGCTGGCCTACGGAGGCCAGGGGCTGCTCGCCACACTTGTCCTGTGTGCCCCTGTTCCCTGCCCTCCCTGGTGTTGGCGAGGCATGCAGTGTGCCCTCCTGTTTATTCCACTGAAAGATGGAGAAGGTAAGCTGAGAGTTGCTCAGCCAGGAAACGGACTTGAGGGGCTGGAGTGAGGGCCACCTCACTCTGGGGGACAGGCCAGTGGGCCTGGCAGCTGGAGAGCTGCCTGCTGGCCCAGATACGTAATGGAGGCGAGGACGGGGCTTGTGGAATTGACGAGCTGATGTTAATGTGCAGAGAAGCCTGAGAACATCGGGGTCATTGCCTGTGGGGCCGTAGGGGTGGCGGTGGGGAGCACTAAAATAGGTCCTGAAGGTGGCGCTGGGAGAGGCCCATCAGGAGCTGTGCCCACAGTCTGTGGACTGCACTGAGCTGCCGGGTGGACGGGCCTCACCAGGAGTGGGAGCCGTCACTGGCTCCGTGGCCGTGGGCCGAGTTAGGCCTCAGGAGCCTGACTGTAAATGGAGGATGGGCCCCCATTTACAGGTTGGTGGGCGGGTCCTGTGGTTACTGGACAGAAGCCTTTTCTGTTTGAATTGAGCAGCCACCACAGCACTTCCTTCCTTCAGGGCCTCTGCTCCAAAGCTGCCTCCTCTGGGAAGTCTTCCTTGATCAACGTAACCCCTTCTGGTTACTCAGCACCCAGGGTTTGTTCCTGCATTCAGAATAAAGGCGTGTGCAGGCCTTTTGGGCTGTTGACACAGTGGGGGCAGGGGGCAGGGCAAAGGGTGGGAGGGCAGGAGTGTCAGGGGACCCCTCACGCCTGAGGGACCTGAGGGGAAGGAAAGGGCTGCAGGCAGGGGACCAGCTGGTGCAAACAGCAGCTCCGGACCAGCCCAGGAGGGCGGGGGGAGGGCGTGGGGGGCACTAGGAGCTCAGTGGACAGAGGGAGGCCGTGGGAGATGCCAGGTGTGGGGGCACGGAGCGCGGCTAACAGGCACGTGGACCGTGGAGAAGGCCTTGCCTTACGCTGCGGAGATGCGAGGCCATCGGGGGTCTTCACTGGGTGGCATGTGACTGGCGTCCATGTTAGGTCATTCTGGCTGCTGTGGTGAAAACAGACTAAAAGGTGAGGTGAGCTGGGCAGAAGCAGAGCTGTGGGGTCTCCCCCAGTGTCACCCGGTGGAAGGGTGTTCTATGCTCACTTGTGGTAGAACAAGTGGGGTTTGCTGAGGTGTGAGGCGTGAGGAAGGTGAGTCTACCATTTGGCCTGAGCAGCTGCCCAGGGTGGGGGGCCGTTTGCTGAGGGGGCAGGTGGGGCAGGACAGGCTGTGGGGGCCGGCCTGGTCCTGCGGGGCAGTGGGCGCCGGGCATTCCTGGGTGGACAGACGTGTTGAGGGGTGGGTGTGGAGCTTGACTGCATGAGGCCCTCTAGGGAGTGGGTGCAGGTGGGAGAGGAGGCGTCAGAGGCCACGCTGGATCCGGGACAGCCAGCGTTTTCAGGGTGGGGAGATGAGGAACCAGCATCAGCGACCAATACCCCAGAAGTGAAGGGACCAACGTGTGCTGAGGAGGAGGAACTGGCCAGCTGTGTCCGTTCATTCTAAGAGGTCAGATGGGGTGGTGACCGGGGCTGGCCCAGGGCTCACTGGTGACCTGGAGCCGGAAGCTTGAATGGAGGGGTCCCCACACGGACTGGAGGAAATGCAGGGAGCTGTCCTCCCCGGGGGACACCGTGGTTGGGTGTCCCGCCGGGCCCTAGGTGCTCGTGAGGACCCTGGCCTTGGCGGCCCACTGCATGGCCAGACCCAGACTTTGCTCTCCCTTCCCGGTGCCAGGCCCAGGGAGCTGGGGTGGGCGGGACAGACATGCTGCTGCCCTGGGAGTGCCAGTCCGTGTCACGTGTGGTGATTGTGCACGTTGGTCAGCCACCTGGAGGAGGGGGCGTGGTGCCAGGACAGGATGAGTAATGACAGGGTGGGGCGGGGGGGGGAGTTTCAGGGGCTCAGGGAAGGTCAGCATCTTGGTGGAGATGAGTTGAAGCGACTATGCCCTGGCTGACGAGTGGAGGGGTGCCCAGCAGAGGGAAGACCCCAAGCGGGCCTCTGAGGAAGGGGAGCCTGCATCCCAGGGGGCCAGTGCAGAGAACTCGGAGGCCTTGCTAGGTGGTAGAACTCCCAGATCCTCAGGTATGAACAGTGGGAAACATTAGAAGAAGGATCTAGACTGGGAGCCATGGAGCTGGAACCTGACATGTACCCGGAGAGGCCATCCCCATTCCACTCAGGGGACCTGTCTGAGCAGCATTGCTGGGACAGCCACGGGGTGACCTGTGAGGAGGGGAGTTGGGCAGAAGGTCTGCAGCCCTCTGGGAGGCTGTGGCCCCACAAGCGAGTGAGAAGGTGACCTTGACACACAGGTGCCCTTGTTCCCGGGCAGGCCTCTCTCTGCCTTGGATGGTTTGGGGTGTCAGGCTAAGCTGTCCCATCTCCTGTGCTTCACAGGGGCGGCCTGTCCATGTGGCTGGATGTCCCCTCAGCCTTTCTTAGGAGAGAAGGTCATGCTGCCCACACTACTGGGCAGACAGGTGGTTTTTCCTTTTAACTGAATTATACCTAACGTGTGCATACCTCCACGTAACTATCACCAGACCAAGATAAAGAATAATCCTAGGGCCGGCTGAGTGGCGCGATGGTTAAGAATTCGCTTGGGATGCCAGAGGGCCCCAGTTCGGATCCCACATATGAGGGCCAGTGACACTGCCCTCCACAGCTAAGATGCTGAACGACAGCTCAACCTGGAGCTGGGCTGCCATGAGTCGCCGGTGACGGCATAGGCTGCAGTCCCTGTGGCAGTGGGTTGCCATGGGCTACCATATGTAGCCGGCAGCCAGTGTGAGCGGCCAGCAGCCGCAGTGAGCGGCCGTCCAGAAGCCGGCGACTGATCTGCCTTGCCTGGGAAGAGCACAATGATGGTGCCAACTTGGGCCAGTGAAGCAACGTCCTCCACAACTAGACTGAAGAACAAAACGACAGCAACTTGTCTGTTCCCCTTCCCCCAATTCCCCAATCAAAATCTTTAGAAAAAAAAAAAAAAGAATAATCCTAGCATCTCAGCCTTTGTGTCCTATCTGAGTCAATAATGTCCCCCCAAAGAAACCACTATTCCCACCTCTGTCACCTAGCTTAGTTGTGCCCATTTTTGAGTCTAATGTAAATGGAAACATGAAAAATCATACACTAGAGGCCTTTGGGGTCTGGCTCATCTGGCTCAGCGTTCTGTCTGTGGGATTCAGCCATGCTGAGCTCAACTCCAGGCTTCCGCTGCTTCTAGTCCTCATCGTCCGAGTGTCACAACTTATTCATTCTACTGTGGATGACATTTCTGTTATTTCCAGGGCTTGGCTATTGCGAACAACACGGCCAGGATTCAGCTAGCACATGTCTAGTCTCTAGGTATTGTCTTGGGTAGATACCCCAGGAGTAGGTTTCTCGGATTATAGGGCATACCTGTGTTTAGCTTCAGTAGATACTGGCTAGTCCTAGTTTGCATTGTAATTAATTGGCTGGCGAGTCATTACGCTGGACCCTCATGACTCCTGGGTAAATGAAAAGTTGAGTGTCTGGAAGGTTCAGGACTGAGAATTGCCTTGTTTATTACAGTCTTGAGCCCCTGCGGGGGCTGAGGGGGAGGCACTGTGTCCTCACTTCTCATGACAACCCTGAGAAACGTCTCCTGCCCCGAGTTAGCGCTAAGAAAACGAGTTCAGAAAGGCTGGCTCACCCACCGTCACCCTGGAGGATGGGGTTCAGGCCGAGGTCTTGTGCCTAGACGGGTGTCCTTCCACTAGACTCAAGGCGCTCTTAGGACACCCCCCACACCCCATGGCCCTTCAGCCCGCTTCTTAGGCACAGGTGCTGACCTGCGAACGGGGCAGACCCTTGGGCCTCCTCTGAGCGCCCCTCCCCGGGCCTCTCTCCTTCAGGCACGAGCTTGCTGCAGGAGGTGGTCTACCTGGTGAGCCAGGGTGCTGACCCCGATGAGATCGGCTTGATGAACATCGACGAGCAGCTCCCGGTCCTGGAGTACCCGCAGCCCGGCCTGGACATCATCAAGGTACTCTGGGCAGGCAGCACCCAGCCCTGTGACCCCTGTGGGGCATTCCTGCAGTTACACCCTGAGTGACAGTTGCTCCTGAGGGGTTCGGGGGGCCTTGTGGGTGGAGGAACAGCAGAGAGCTCCCGGTACCCCCAGGTAGCCAGGAGAGAGAGGCCTGAACCCTTGACGGCGACCCTGGAATTGGTCTGGGTGACTTCAAGGTAGAAAGGAGGCAGATGCCAGGGTAGGGGTGCAGCGGGGAGTGTGAGGGTGAGGGGCCTCGCTGCATCTCCCCCTCACCTTTCCCTGTGGCTCACCCCATCTGTTGAGCTGGGCAGGATGCGTTTGCCTGAGATACGTGGTGTCAAGAATGAAATAACATTATCCGAGGCCTGTCCATTCTACCCCTCAGACATACCTGGAATGTCCCCTCGACCCCTGCCCTCTCTTTCGTTCAGGCCTCAGTTCCTCGGTGGACCGCCTGTCCCTTCTCCCACTAGGTGAGCTTCTGGGCCACTGCTCTCACAATGGAGTCTAAGGTCCCGTGTGAGCCAGTCTCTGCATCCAGCCTCCTGCTGGCTCAGCTGCTCACGACGCTTGTGCATGGCCACGTGGCTTCAGCCTGGTTGACTCGTCCACTGAGCCCTTCAGTAGAGCTGCACTGGGTGCCCACCGTAGGCGGGCACTGCTCTTGGCACTGGGGTGTGGCCGAGAACCAAACTGACACCAGTCACTGCACTCACCCAGCTGGCATTCTAGTGCGGGAGACCGATGGAGAGGAAACCAGGAGGCGTAGTGGTTAAGTGGTGACTTGTGCTAGGCAGGGAGCAAAGCGTGACTGGACGGGGCAGGCTTCTTGGTGGGGACATCAGGTGAGGTCCTGAAAGAGCGGAGGAGCTGGCTGAGTTGAGGCAGGGGAGCCGTGGGTGCAGAATCCCCAGCCCCAGCCAAGTGGCCTGGCATATGTTCCAGGAGCTGCAAGGCCTGTGTGTGAGATGATTGCGATAATCCAGCAGCCTGTCTGCCATGTGCCTTGTGCTTCCTCCGCTGCCCTGCAAGGCCCGTCCTGGTCCTCTGGGCAGACCCCTGTGACCACGATAGGCCGACTCAGGCTGTGGGTGCCCGAGGATGGACCGTGTCTTGTTCACATCTGGCCCCAGGGTCCAGCCTGGAGGGCGGCCATATCTCAGGCTGTAAGTTTGTCAGGTGGAGACCCGCTCTGCCTGGCCTCCAAAAGGTCCTGAGACCTGTGTGTTCTCTGAATGCCTCTCCCCTTGACCCTGCTGCAGGAACTGACGTCTCCTCGTCTCATCAAAAGCCACCTCCCCTACCGTTTCCTGCCCTCCGATCTCCACAACGGTGACTCCAAGGTAATTCCCTGCTCCCCTCCAAGTGGGTTCCTCACAAGTGCAAACACTGGCCTGTCACCCTCATTTGTTCCCAGAGACCCTGGTGTAGCAAGACCCCTGGTACAGGCCGTCTTTGAGCCTGTATCTCTAGCATTTTATCCATGTTTCTAATCTGGGCTTTTCCTCACAGTTGAACTTGGACTTGACCAGCCCAAGTCTAGCCTCTGCCTGTTGAAGGCTGAGGATTCGCAGCTGAATTTTCCCGTTTTCTCAGCTGATGAAGTTTATGAGGCCCATAATTCTTATCACCAGTATCACGACCGGAATTTTCCTGTCTTAGACTGCTCAAGCAATTGTGCTGGCAGATGCTGTTGTGGGGATACGGGTGCATCTCTGCTGAAACAGTGATAGTGAAAAAGCGTGTTTGGCCACGCGCACGTGGGACTGGCCTTACTGCTGGAAACGCGGGGTCAGTGTACCGAGTGGGAGCCTGTGGGTCTGTGAACCTGCGCGGGGCAGCCTGCCTGGGCGGAGAGATCTGCGACTAAGCCCCGCCCTTCCGTCTGCCCGTCCCTCCTCTCCCGACAGGTCATATACATGGCCCGGAACCCCAAGGACCTGGTAGTGTCCTATTACCAGTTCCACCGCTCCCTGCGGACCATGAGCTACAGAGGCACTTTCCAGGAGTTCTGCCGGAGGTTCATGAACGATAAGTGTAAGTGTGCCAGCCGCGTGGACGTCACAACGGTGACGCTCGCTGCTCCCTGCACGCTGGCGCATGCTCCTGCTTGACCCACACCCCCCAGTTCCTACGATCGCCGAGTGCGTCGGGCCTGCTTTCCCCGCTCACAGGAGGAGAAGCTGGGCTCAGGGAGGACGGGAAGCTTGTCCGAGGTTGCAGCTCGTGCAGAGCAGAGCAGGCGTCCTACACAAACGCCCTTCTCTCTCACCACATTGTTGGGGTTCTAAGAAGCCCCCCAATGAAAAGCATCCGTCTTCCTCCCTGGATTCCTATCAGTGAAAGCGGAGGCCTGGATATCTCTGTTGTTGGTGACAGAGGCCAGCGTGGAGGCCGTGGCTTCGTGTGAGAGCCCTGTGGGCCTTTAGCTGGACTTGAGGATCAGGCAGGCTAAGCCCCCAGGCCCAGGCCAGTGTGACCCAGGGCGGGGTACCCAGGGCAAGGGGGAAGGCAGGGTTCTGTTTAAGAAGTTGGTTCCCGGGGGAGAAGGGTGAGCTGGGCGCGTGTGCCTGGGCCCTTCTGTGTCTCCCTCCCCAGAGGTGGAGTGGGCGGGGTCACACGTGTTGCACTGGGACCAGGGAGGCAGCCGTCCCCTTGGCAGTGGTCGGCACCTCCTCACTACAGTTCTGCTCCCCTCGCCCAGATGGCTCCCCCCTTGCCAACCATGGCTTTTCTGGGCACCTTTCCGGGACCGCAAGTGGGCAGTTTAGAGTTTGCATGCAGAAGAGTTTTGAAATAGGTCCTATCCGTACTTTAATTAAGTCTGCACTGAGACTATTCCATACCCAAGTCCGAAAATACACTTCCTGTTTTATTTCCCAATTCAAGTAATGCTCCCGCGATGTGCACTGTCCAACCCAGTCAGGGCTCTGCAGTAAGACTGTGTGATGAGTGTGAGGTAAAGTGCATGACGGACATCCAGGAACAAGCGCCGCAAATTTAAATGGAGCTGGGGCCGCCGAAGGGAGCTGCCTCCCCAGCCTCGCTGAGAACCAGACCAGGCCCCTGGGAGGGGACCCAGCCCCTGCGCCCCGAGGCCCCGAGCCTGAGAACCAGACCAGGCCCCTGGGAGGGGACCCAGCCCCTGCGCCCCGAGGCCCCGAGCCTGCTCAAGGCCCTCTGCCAGGCTCCCTCCCCGCAGCCCGCCCAGGCCCCTCAGGTCTGCCAGGCGTTTGGAGCCAGCCGCTCACATGGTTCCCAAAGCCATGTGCTTAAGTCCCTGCGTGTGCTCCTGTCTTAGCAGAAGCCACAAACAGCAGGTGTCCAAGTTCAAACCTATACAGTGATGTAGGGCTTAGAGCTTCCTGCCCGGGCCAGAGCGGTTAAAAGTGATCCCAATTCAGGCCCGTCCGCGTTTGGAAGGTCACAGCACTGCCCAGCACTGAAGTCCAAGTCCACTCACCCTCGCCGTGGTCCCACAAAGCCCCTCCACGTGTGCACTGAGCCTCCCACATTCTTCCCTCAGCCTGTTCCCAGCCAGCGCCCCACGTCTCCGCTTGTGTTCGCTGGCCCTCGTGTTCGCTGTCCAAGGTTCTGAATAATTTGAACAATAAGATGCAGGGGGAGCAGTGAAGTGACACTTTTACTAAGAAAGCGAGGTCGGAGGACCTGCTGACGGAACTGCATTTGGGTGTTGTGTGACTCACGTGTTCTGGAGGTGGGGGGTGCCCAGGGCCATGGGCCCAGGTGACAGGGACCTTGTGGCAGAAACGCTCTCTGTAGGCAGGATCACTCCCAGAACGGGGCGAGCGAGCTCTCACTCTCCCAGTAATACACTTGGATGAGCACGTTGACCTCTCAGGAGCAGAGGGACTTGGGTGGAGAGGCGGCAGTGCCCTGGCAGAGCCCTTCCCAGGACGGCACATCCTGAGTGTGAAAAGCACCTTCCCCAACAGCAAGGTCCACACCGTCTCTGTACCTGCCAACCAGGGCTCAGAGAGGCAGGCACATGCTATCCCCATCAACCTTGTCCCCTTGTGCAGTGACCGCTGTCCTCACTGCTCGCTGTGCTGTCAGCCCTGTGCTTGTGTGAGTGACCAGCCTCCTTATACCCTCATGGTCCCCAAGGCACCCTGCCTGTCCAGCTCCATGTCATCCCCAGTGGTCACTGGCTGTCTTGCGAGTTTTCTCTTGGAATGGTGGGATTTTCTTATGCTTCATGTTCATGGCCATGGGCTTCTGCTTTGCCCAGGGCCCAGGTCACTGGGACCACAGTCCAGATGTGGGCAGTGACGCAGAGACTTGGGTTCTTTTCTCTGGCCCAGTGGTCTTTAGCCTGGCGATGAGGTGGCTGTCGCTGTCTTCTCTGGACTCCCTTGTCCGTTCTAAACCGGAAGGTGGCTTGGCTGTGTTTGGGGCCTGCCCTGGGGGTATCTCTCCCCAGTGGACAGGAGTGAGCGGGGATGGGCCAGGCTGCCTGTGGGGAGGGTGCTGAGACCTGGGCAGCTAGAGCCCCTGCGGTGAGGAGACTGAGGGGCCAGGAGTTACCCAGCAGTGGTGTCAGAAAAGGCCTTTTGCTGAGTCCCTGTTCTTTCTATTCCATTCACTTCTGCCCATTTGCCCCTCCCCTTCCAGAGCGCCCGCCGCATTCCTCATGAGGTGTGGGGCCGGGGCCTGTCGGCCTAAGAAGGCCACCCCTCAGCAACCCCTCAGCTACCCAGACCCCTGATTAACACTGAGATAGATCCCTCTGGACCCCTCATGGAGCTGTGGGGTCGGGCTGCTGCTGAGCTGCCACCTGCTGGTGAGATGGCAGACTGACACGGGCCGACCAGGAGCAGTAGAAGTCCCCTGCCGCTCCTGGGCCTCAGCAGGACAAGGACGAGCGTCACTGCGCCTTGCCCTGGTCTGACCCCCCCTTCCCTCCAGCCTTCCTCAGGTGCCACCAGAGTGAAAGGAGCACAGGCGACCCCCCCCCCCTCCACAGGCCCTCCTGGGTGAAGAAGAACTGTACACGTGTGCTCTCAGCACCCAGTAGCCCCGGAGGCACAGTTCTGTTGTCACCCCACTCCTGTAGGAAGAGTCTCAAAAAGGCTCAGTGGCCTGCCCAGGTCACACAGCCAGTGCAGGATGTGAGAGGCAGGGCCGCCTCAATCCCGAGCCCTTGACCTTCTCCGGGCCACTCTCCTGCCGTCTCTCCCGTCTGATCTTGCCACCGGGCTTCTGAACCCCCTTGCCAGCCCTCTCCTTCCTGCTGGCTTCCTGCCGCCTCGTCCTGTCCTTGCTTGTCTCACCCTTACTGATCCCAGTGCGGAGAGGGCCCTCCTGTGTCCCTCGGCACTTCCTTCCATGTTGGTCACTCCGTATCGTGGTCCTAGCGCCCTTGGTGGCTCCCGCTAGGCCAGGAACGCCCCGAGCCCTAGACCAGGAGGTTGTAGCCACAGGGCCTGGTGTTTGGGATGGGTGTGTGGGTGAGGGCGCAGGCGGTGTGGCCACCACTCCTGGTGGCCCTGTTACCTGGCGGGTGAGGGCACCACCACCACACAGCCGTTTTTTGGCTGCGGCCGCCCTGTTTCACGTGAAAGCCCCTTTGGAAGATTCCTGCAGGGACCCTCATGGTGGGGGCAGCTCGGTGTGACTAGGCCGTGAGAGCCAACAGTTTTAAGAAGAACGTCGAGAAGCAGCCTGGCTACACTCATCACCCACCTGCCCATGTGACCCCTCCCCACACCGAAGCCCTGAGGAGTGTAGGGAACGCGGGGGCTGTGGTGTGGGGTGTGAGCCGTTGCGTGATAGCAGGGGGCACGCTGCCTTCCTCATCTCTCTGACTTCCGGGCTCTGCCTAGGATTCTGCTGTGGCCCTCTTGCCTGGCAGGGCCCTGTGCTGGCATCTGTCTTAGAGCCTGCTGTACTCCCACCCCCACCAGCAAAACCGACTGGCCCCGTGTCCCAGTTCCTCTGGGCATCGTTCTCTTCCTGATGACCACGTTACACACACAAACTCACCCATGCCCCAGGTGAGCAGAGGCCTTCACCCCAACAGTCAGGTCTTCAGGGCATCTGGAAGGTGGGGGAGGTGACGGGCTGAGGACTGTTGGCAGGACAGACTCTCACAGGGAGCCAGGGGACGTGGGACTTCGGAAGGGGCTCCTCTGTGGGGCCGTCCCCCACCAAGCTCAGAGCTGTTGCTTTCTTCCTGAATCGCAGCCCCTGGGCAGTAGGAGGGGCGCCTTCTGGAAGGCGGGAGCGAGGCCACCGTACAAAGCACGCTTCCTCCATGTGGCCGTGACTCACTTGTCCCCTTGTCTCCACAGTGGGCTACGGCTCCTGGTTCGAGCACGTGCAGGAGTTCTGGGAGCACCGCATGGACTCCAACGTGCTTTTCCTCAAGTATGAAGACATGCACCGGGTGAGTGTCGTGGGGGCAGCTGCTGAGGGCACAGCGCCTGGGCTGTGCTGGCAGGGGCGCAGGGCGAGCGGCATGGAGGGCTTCAGGAACCCTGGTCTTATTTGCCTGCCCGCCCCAAAAGCAGAGCAGCAGCCAGCCCGGCCTTTCTGCTACCCAGCGCCCTCTCCGTATGCTGGTCACCAGCTCGGGGCCAAGGGCTGAGCCGGCAGAGTCACAGTTTCTCATCTCTCAGCCTGTTGGCCTTTGACGGGCGGTTCTCAAACTGCCTGCGGACCTGTGGGTCTCCCTTTGAATCGATTCCTGTGATGAATGTTTCTGAGTGTCTGCAGAGTGTGGAGAAGGAAGCGGGTGTGAGACAGCTGTTGAATGATGGTGCCAGGCCGGGCCATGGCAGTGGACCTGGCCTGCGCCCTGGAGAGCTTGCTGACTGGAAGTGGGGGGGTTAATGTGTCACATGTCAGTCACGTCATCACCACCATTGTCATCAGCACTTTTTTTTTTTTAAGATTTTTATTGGGGAGCTGGGGGATGGGAACAGCGCTGGGGAATTGGGGGAAGGGGAACAGACAAGTTGCTGTCCTTTTGTTCTTCAGTCTAGTTGTGGAGGACGTTGCTTCACTGGCCTAAGTTGGCACCATCATTGCGCTCTTCCCGGGTGAGGCACATCAGTCGCCGGCTTCTGGACGGCCGCTCACGCTGGCTGCTGGCCACACACGGTAGCCCATGGCAACCCACTGCCACAGGGGCTGCAGCCTACGCCGTCGCCGGCGACTCACGGCAGCCCAGCTCCAGGTTGAGCTGTTGTTCAGCATCTTAGCTGTGGAGGGCAGTGTCACTGGCCCTCATATGTGGGATCCGAACCGGGGCCCTCTGGCATCCCAAGCCAGCTCTTAACCATCGCGCCACTCAGCCGGCCCTGTCATCAGCACTTTTGAAAGCTTCCTGTGTGCAGTGTCCTGGCCGTGGCTCTTTGCGTGTGTGTTAATGCCCTTAATTTGAGACCAGGTTTACCCTCCGCTGGGCCTGTCTGTAGCGTGTAGAGAGGAGTGTGCTGATGACGCTCCTCTCTCACTGGGAACGAGAAGCGGCCTCTGCACGCCTCTCCCGCTCTGCCTCCTTTCCCTTTGCTCCGCTCCACTTGGCTGCTGAGCTTTTCAGAGCTGCTTCTACCCCTGAGCCGCTTCAGCGAGGCGCACATCCCTCCCACACAGACACACGCACCACACCCCCAAGCTGCTCTGTTGGGGTCTCCTGTGACCGCCACGCTGCTCCTACAGTGGTTGGTCGGTCGAGCTCGGGTCCCGTCTCCCTCGGCCGCCCCCGGCAGCATGAGGCGGGCATTGCCACACTGCCCTGCGTCCTGCTCCCTTCTCCTTGACGTCCTGCCAGCAGCACGCGCGGGCCTCAGCTCAGCTCTCGTTTCCTTCCATCCGTGCTCCCTCCCTGGCGACAACCCCAGGCCAGATGTGCACCTCTTCAGACTCTCCATCTGCCCCTTGGCGCCTGTGTGGGTATCAGGTAGAGACCGCAGACTTCACGTGTGCAAAGCAGACGGCAGGTCCCCTCAAGCCCTCCACACTTCCTCCCGTCTAAGTTCATGGCAGCCAACTGCATCCTCCGCTGCTCGGGCACAAGTCTGGAATCAGCCTCGATTTCTCGCTCTCTTACATCCTATGTCTGTTTTCCAAATCCTGTCGTTTGACCTTTAAAATCTCCCCCTCATCTGACCGTTTCTCCCAGTTCTGCCCCGTGTCCCTGGGCCAAGTCAGCTGCCTCTCTTGCCTGGATCATGGCAGCCGTGCCAAGCGGCCTCAAAGCTTCTCCCAGGCTGTGCCCCTGCCTGCAGTGTCCCTCCCCCAGATGCCCACACGGGTCGCTCTCACTCCTTTCAGGCCGTTGTCCCTAGAGTGACACCTTCCCTGATCCCCACTTAACTTCGACTCCCTTCCCCGTCCCCAGCACGCCTCTTCTGCATTTATCATCATCTGATGCATTTTGCTGTGCGTGTCTTTATTTTACTTGCTGTCTCTGAGACCAGAATAAACTCCTTCAGGACTAGGAATTGTGTCTGTCGTGTCCATGCACCTAAGTCAATGCCGGACACATACGAGGCTCTCGGTATTTGCAGAACGAATGAATGGCCTTCGAGGTAGACCCCTCCCCTCCTTTTTAGAAACCAGAGGCACGGGGGTGGAGCTTGCCTGGCCGTGCCTCTGTCGTGAGTACAGCCGGGCTCTGCCCTGGGCATCGTCGCCCAGAGCCCGTGCCGTAACTGCTGCCCGGTGGCGCAGCGTGAGCAGCCTGAGGGCTGGAGCTCAGGTAAAGGGACACCTGGGGAAGGATGTCTGGGGCGAGCTGGGCGGGCTGGTCTGTGCGTGAGGGAGCTCGTGGTGTTCAGTCGCACCCATGTCACTGCAGTGAACAGACAAGGCTGCTAGTGACAGTGGCTGACAGCTGCACAGGCATTTTCGGCCGCACAGCAGCCGGCAGCCAGGTGGGAGCCCTGGTGGGGAGAAGGCCGGCTGGGAGCTGAACTGGGAGCAGGGTGGTGATGAAGGGGATGAAGTCGGAGGCGGGGCTGGAGCTGGGCATCCACAGGGGCAGAGAGGCCAGCCCTCCACCTCATAGCGGGCATCCAGGAGAATTCAGGCGGATTACAGCCCTTCGTTTCATTTGTATACGTCTCTGTATCCACCACCCAGATCAAGATTTAAACCTTCCAGCTTGTTCTGGCTGACACCCCACTTCCCAGAGGCAGCCACCATTCTGACCTCTGTCACCAGAGACTAGTTGTGCTGGGTTGGAGCCGCCCATAAATGGAGTCACGTGGCGTGCACTTAGTGTCTGGGAGACTCGCCTGAGCTGGTTTGTTCTTTGTTTCTGTGTAGTTCACAGAGGCAGGACTGTGGCTCAGGGTGTTACCCACTGAGTGGAGGTGCTGCTTTCCATTTCGGGGTAGTTTTGAATAAGTGCTGTGCGTGTTCCCGCGCCTCAGTGGGCATGCACATTCTTTGCATTGGGCGTATACGGGAGTGGGTGCTGGGTCCGCTGTTTGTGATTCTGCCCCCCTGTGACACGGCAGCACCCCTCCACGTAAACGTGGGGGAGGAAGGCGAAGCCCCTCGCCCGTCAGCTGTCCACACACCTGCGGGGCCAGGCTGGGCTGGCAGGTTCTTCCAGGAACTTCGTTAACTCACCCACGAGTGACAACCATTTTAAATGTTAAACCACAAGGGGGCAGAAGGCCAAGTTTACGTGAACTTCAAAGCTCAAATACACACTTTTCAGCCTGGCTACTCTGGACTCTGCCCCATGCCCTCAAAGTGGAGTGAGTGGTCATTCTTGTCTGCTTTAATGATCTCCGAGTAAAGGTCCAGACCACCTGCTGTACCTGCCTGTCACAGCCGGGACTCCAGGTTCTGCTCAAGCCTGTCTGATGCCTCAGTGGCCTCCCTACCCCCACAGTCTGAGTTTTAGCTTCTAATTGGCAAGTGTTGATTCTTTTTTCAGAAACCTCAATAATGCTATGGCATGTCTTTAATAGAGATTAAGTGACTACCATCACATTTTTAGGAATTCATGTTATTTACATTTTGATCCAAAAAATGAGCCCTGAGGCAATAGCATTGGTCCCCAGGAGTGTGCACCAGGCCTGGCGTGTTCTCATCGCGGTGTTTGATTGACACTTCACACTTGAGCTGTCACCACCTCATCCGTCCACGTGGGGGTTTCCACACCCCTGCCTTCCCTGTCACCCCTCACTGTGGCTGCCCCAGTCTATTGCCCCATGAATCCTGCAGTAGCTCGAGCCATTCTCCCCAGCCACAGGTGGGGAAGCCCCTGACTGCCCCGATGGCAGGGAGGGTAGTCAGCAGTGGGACCCCGCCTGCTGGCACAGTGTGGCTTCCTAACCGCGAGCAGCCCTGTGGCATGCAGCCAGTGCACGTGACAGACGTGCCTTCCTCTAGGGTGGGTGTTACACCAGTGGCCCAGTTAGGACTCTGTCGGCCGCTCCAGCAGTCTGGCGATGGGCCAACTGTGTCCCTCTCGTGTGTCCTTCTGAAGGCCAGGTGTCTTAAATCTCTATCGCTCTTTTTTACCTTTTAAATAGAAATACCAAGTGACAGGTGAGAGGCGCTGTTTTTCCTTTGTTTGTGCTGACGCCTGTTGCGCAGCTGACCCCTCTCCCAGCTAAGCCCTGTGCTCTGGCCTGTGGGAGCCCCAGGGGGAGAAGCAGCTGGAGGCAGGACCGGAGCCGTGGTGATGACTGTGGGGGCTCAGAGCAGAGCTGACGCTTAAACCAGCTTTCCCAGAACTTTCCTTAAGGTTTGGGAAATGTAGAAACGAAATTAAACAGGCTCCTTCACTGTAGGCCTTCTCAGAGGCTTAGGGTGCTCGTTTTCTTTTATAAACCTGCACAAGAGGAAACAGTTCCAGTGTTTTCCTAATGTGACCCAGACACTGCAGCATTTGGGGACTGCCTGTGACAGCTCAGGGTTCTGGGCAGAACACGTGGCGACACACGGCTTGAGAATATGAGGTGCCTTGCTGTACACAGTAAGTCCTCACTTAACAATGTCTATAGGTTCTGCAATTTTAGGAGAAAGGACAACATATAAATGCAACCATTTTTACCGCAGGCTAATTGATATAAACAGGAATTAATTTCCCATGGAATCTCAATGTGATAATGAAACAAAATTGAATAAAAGGATGTTATTCGAGGACCTGCTGTATTTCCCAGGGAGCGTGGTGGTGGTGGTGGGGAGGGGCTGTGTGTGTGTGTGGTGAGCAGGTGGGCGTGGCGGGCAGGTGGGCGTGGCGGGCAGGTGGGCGTGGTGGGCAGGTGGGCGTGGCGGCAGGTGGGCGTGCTTGCTCCAGGACTCTTAGGGCCCCTCAGTAAAGCTCCTGCTGTCAGGAGTGGTGGAGTGATGGGGACTTGAGATGGCTTTAGGTCAGCGGGCCAAGTGTAAGTGAATCTTGCTTCAGACCCAGCCAGCTCCCCCTGCCAGGCGAGCGGGGCAGCCCTGGGGCCTGGCTGGGGTCCCCAGGGGCCTCCTTGCTCTCTCAAGTGCCAGTCTCGACTCGAGCTGATGGATGGAAGAAAAGGGAAGAAGAGAGTGAGCTGCTCTTGCTCCTGACACAGTCCGAGGTGGATGTTTACGTCTTGCTACTGTTTTAAAATGACCACAAGTTTATCAAACTCATGTCCGCTTCCAGAGTCCCCAGAGGACCTGGGTTTCGATTCCAGATGTGCCCACTGAGCACTGAGTGCCCTTGGGCCGTTTCCTAACCTCTGGATTTTACTTCCAGACAAGGCCCCGCCTGGTGTCAGGACTAAGTGGGGCAGTCAGTGTGTACACAGCCCAGCATGGCGTCCAGCCCAGAGTTGGCAGTCAGTAAAGGCATCGCTTCTGATGAGCTCCCTGCTCTCTGCTCTTGTCTTCCAGGACCTGGTGATGATGGTGGAGCAGCTGGCCAGATTCCTGGGGGTGACCTGTGACAAGGCCCAGCTGGAGTCCCTGACCGAGCATTGCCACCAGCTGGTGGACCAGTGCTGCAATGCCGAGGCTCTGCCCGTGGGCCGGGGTACGCGCCTCTGCCCACCTCCCTCTGCCTCGGCCCAGGGCCCAGGGCCCGGTTCCCCTCGCTGCCGGTGTCCCTTGTCCCCCACATCAGCGTTCTGCCTCCCTGTGTCTCGTGTCTCTAGAGCACTCTGCCCTGCGGGGGGACAGAGGGCCATCTGGAAGCTGGGCCTGTTGGCGGCACAGCCACAGCGGAGTGCGCTCCTGCTGCTGTGTGTCGTCACCCAGCAAACGTGTTAGCTCCCAGGAGGGGCGGCCGTGACTGCCGGGATGGTTCGGGCTTTGCGGGCATGTGCTCTAGCAGGTGCCTTCCCAGATGGCCCCACAGAGCAGGACCCAAGGTTGGGTTTGGGGCTGTGAGATTTCGAAGCTCCCAGCTGCAGATGGATTCCTCAGCCTTTAGCTGGCTTGTGGGAGTTAAATGATAGAGTGGGAGAGCCCCCATATGAGGAAGTGCCTTTCCTGGTGTTCACTTGGTGGGTGCTGGCGGCAAAGGTGCTCCCCCTGCCCCAGGGGGGAGGGTGTGAGCAGAAAGCACAGGCCTCCCCCAGGTTGACCTGCTGTATCACGGGGAGGCGGCCCAGGGAGCTATTTCCTGGGCGTGAGCAGTTTGAAGTGGGGAAGGTATTCCAGGTGGGAATCCGTTCCACATCCACCGAGGCTGCTTGATGGTGGAGAGCTCAGGCGTTCACACCCCCTGAGCCCCGAGGGGTGTCCAGAGGGGTGTCCATGGCCATGTAAGCTGCCTCCTGATGAGCGTGAGCTGCCTCTGCCACCCGAGGTTGGTTCCTGGCTGTGAGAATCTGGAGCTTTCCCAGGTGGCCAGAATGCTGGGAGGGGAGGCGGGGGACACAGTGTTCTGCAGCCCGTCTCAGACACACAGGGAGCTACCTGGCTGGTGACAAAAGGGTGGGGCGCTCATCACAGCCGCGCTGCGTCCTGGGGAAGTGCCTTCGGTCAGGCCTCTGAGCTTAGAGAGCTCTTTGTCCTCTAAAAAGGGCTGATGGCCGCCGCTGGCTAACAGGGCTGTTCTGAAGGTCAAGTGCACTCCCTTCCCGTAAAGGCAGAGCAGTCAACTCTCCCAGGAATAAAACTGAAACCTAAACACCTCGCAATTTATTTCCTGGCTGCATCCTCACAAATATTTATGATTTAAAATTTATTTGGTCTTTTTTAGTTTTTCTTTTGCTGTGTTTTGTTATCCTTGGGTGTGACCTTCTTCAAAATACCCCTTTTGGTTCATTTGTGTGGTGAAGAAGTGTTGTGAGCATACTGCGTGCCATATGCTCCCTTTGATGTGTTTGCTTTGTCATTGTTTACCTTGGTTTTGCTTTATTTCAGTTTTTTGATTTTGTTTTCTTTTAGCACATTGCCTCTTTGCTCAGAAGACCTCCCTGCGTTGGTGAGAGTGCAGGGGCTGGAGTAGCCAGCTGCATTGCTTAGATTTGATTCATATCACAGCATAAATTGCACTGTCTTGATTCCAAATCCTAAACCAGGTGGGTGACTCCTTTGATGAGCTCTCAGCTGCCTCAGTTGAGAAAAATAATCATAGAAAAAAAATATATAGTCTGGTTGGTCTAGAAGCTCCTAATTTTGTCCCTTAGGTATCGTTAGCAGGTAGCAGGAACAATTTGTCTTGCTTTTTTCCCTCTGCAACACTGATATCGTTTTTATTACCGGAGAGAAAACCCTTGTCATGTTGGATATATTAGCTCAGCATTTGCAGGGTTGCAATTTCATACCTGAGGTCCTGCCAGGACAAGGATGGCTGTTAATAATGGCATTAATGAAGGATGTTTGCAGACTGGCAGAGCTCTGATCTCAGAGCTCAGATCTCAGAGGTGCCGACGGTGAAAAGGGTTCTGAACCACCGTTTCAGTCCCTGAGGCTGTTGCTGAAAAGCATAATGACAGCACTCCTGCGCTGGGGTATGGGTGCAGGGGTGACCGCTCTGGCTGGTGGGCGGTGGGCATCCCCACTTTCGACATCTTCGCCGGGGGTATTTGACCAGACCAACTGAAGATTCTGTCACTGACAGGAAGGTGGGTGGGGCCAGCAGTTTTGGGGTCACTTTGAGCTTCCTCCCTTTTTCCTTAAGCATCAACAAGCGGTCGCCCTAGGCCTGTACCTCAGCCTGCAGGCTCGGCTGCTGCCCGTCTGCCCAGCCGGCTCTGGTCCTCGGACCAGCCTCCCTGAGCTGCAGCCGGCTGGAGCACCTGAGGGGCGCTCCTGACTTGCTTGGTGCTGAGTCGAGATCTTGTTGCCGCACACGCTTGGCATCAAGTCACAGAAGCTAGTTTACAGCAACTGTTTCCTCCCTCCCCGAGGCTGCGGGCAGGCTTCACTCAGTCTCCCCCTGGTCAGGCGGCCTCCTGCTCGCCATAAAATGTTCTGCCTTTTTGGGTGATTTTTTTTTTTTTGCTTTTCAAATTCTGCAGAAGCAAGTGCTGCCCTAGTTGAGCTGTTGAGCCGTGAGTAAGTATGTGGGGTCATGGAGACCCCAACTCCACATGGTGCCAGGGTGGTGGATCCGTTCCCAGACACTGTGCACCCTCCGGGTGTTGAGAATCACCACCGCTCTGTGCCCAGGTGTCGGGCTCCAGCAGGGAGCAGGGGCAAAGGTGGTCCTTGCGGCCTCGGCTCTGCACGTGTGTGGTGCTGGGCTCCCCAGGCAGGCAGGACACCAGGACGACAGGCTTAGGGAGGCAGGTTCAGCACGTCTGTAATTCACATGGCCTGTCGTGCCCCCATAGGACAAGTTCAGAGGGGCCGGGAACGGATCTGGAAGGTTCCAGATCCTTTTCCGAAGCTTCCTCTGGTTCGGCGGCTGGCCTGACAGCACCGATTCAGCAGGTCTGCTCGATTGTGTTTCAGGGAGAGTCGGGCTGTGGAAGGACATCTTCACCGTCTCCATGAACGAGAAATTCGACCTGGTGTACAAACAGAAGATGGGGAAGTGCGACCTGACGTTTGACTTTTACTTGTAGTAACCGCCCCAGCACACCTGCATGCTCACAGTCCCCAGACACCACTAGCTACAAGTCCTGCAGGCACCCATCTGTTACCCGCCAGACAAGCTCCGGAAGCGCCGTGACCGTGGCGGGGAAGGGAGAGCGGAGGGCTTGGAGGCGGTGGGATGGCTTCCGTCCCTGCGCTGTCCCGCCTTTGGAGCTTGAAGTCTCCACATGTCTGATTACAAACATAAAGATTGCAGTTCTGCTGGCCGGTACCCTAAGTGCAGAGTCTGTAACATATGCAACTAGAATGTCTGCCGTTTACAACCCCACATTATTTATTGTATTTTATAGAGCTTTTCACTGGAAATCTAAATAAATGTCAGTAAACCAAATAAAAGCGCATTTCCAAGGGGACTCAGGAGCGAGCCACGCCCGAATGCTGGAAGGATCTCAGGGTTGACTCCTTATGTTTGTAGTTTTCTTCTGTAAGGCACAGCCGCTCAGTGTTCACCTGGGTCTGAGAGAAAGGTGAGGCCACAGATGAGTTTGGGGGGGGGGGAAGACGGAGTGAGAAAAGGGAGTTTATTCTTTGTAACCTCCCTGAAATAAAGCAGAAGCTGTCCACTAGGGCATTTTCAGAAGGGGTGGAACATTTCATGAGGAGACCCGTTACTGTAGCGACGAGACTGCCTCGGAGACCCTGAGCACACTTGCAGTTTGAGTTCTCAGCCTGAGGCTTTTGGTCCCTGAAACAGAAGCCTGGCAAGCGTTCACTAGTGTTCAGGTGGTTTTGTCCGTACCTGAGGTGCAGCCACGCGAGAACCGCTCTGCAGGTTTAATGCGTTTTGCTCAGAAGCCTGGCCATCCGCCTTCGTCTCTGCCCACCCTGCACCTCAGTGTATCTGGGGGAGCAGAGGTGGTATCTTTACTGCCCCCGCCACCTGCTTCATTTTCTGGCAGGTGGGCACTGGCCCACATTTGGCTGGAGAAGTGGACGGCCGGCTAAGCAGCTTGTATGCGTGTTGCCACCGTGGTGGGACTGGGGTGGTCTCGGGCATTTATGTGGCTGGGAAGTGCCCACAGTGGTTGTCAGATGGGTCACTGCTGTGTAAGGGGTCTGTTCTGTGTCGCGTCTTTGAAAAGGTGCAGACATGCACTTGTGTTTTATTTGTGAAGGGGAGCAGCTGGGATGGGGCAGGTGGCATGTGGTGTGGCATGGTGGGCTGGGCCCCTTCCCTGTGTATCTGTGAGGGGGCTGCCTTCTGTGAAGTTTTTTTTCTATTTTTCTATTTTTAGTACTGAATGGATGTTACCGAGCACGCGGATGCTTCTGAGCTTGCTTGCCTCTTTAATAAAGACACGTCCCATGCCTTGTGTCAAGCGTGTGCTGACGGGTGGGGGGCCCCCACATGGTCCCCAGCACTCAGGGTAGCGTGAGTGTGAGCCCTGCTGACACCCCGACACTGGGACTGACTGCACTGGGTCACAGGCCCGTGTCGATTGAGCAGTTTCACTTAGATGCGAACATTCCACGGGTTGAGTTCGCCTCACTATTTGTTCACATTTGATACCTTCGATAAGCTGAAATGAAAGGAAGGGTGGGGGCAGAAGAAGAAAGCAAGGGGGGAGGCGTGGGGGATGCAGGTATCTCCCCCCTCTGCCTTGGGACGTCCCATTGTGGGGGTGGCGTGGGAGGGGGTGGCAGAGGTTACACTTCACTGTGAAGTCCAAAGTCTGTCTTCCCTGTTCCTTGTGGAAAGAGAACCCAGGACATTGTTTTATCTGCAAAATCTCGAGCTGCCTGGAAAATCCTGTTAGTTTTCCAACGGACTAGTTCCTTCTGGTCTGAGGTGAAATCTCAGAATGTACTTTGGCATCGGGAATTCCCCAGAGCCCAGGTGAGTTTATGGAATAAATATCCCTGAGGGCCGGCCCCCAAATCATGTACAAACCATCTAAAACCAGAAAGTCAAGGTCAAGTCCATGAAGCAAGAGGTGAGGAAGCAGTGTCATGTGTCTGCGTGCTCGTTTGTCGAATGCGCCCCTGGCCCTGCTTGGTCGATACTTCACTATGTGATATGGGCTTGAGCACCTACCACGCGTCAGATGCCATTGTGGGCACACGGGCTCCAGCAGCCAGGCAGAGAAGGGCCAGCCCCGGGGCATTTACCCTCTGCTGGGGAGACATCACAAAACCTGACGCGAGTTCAGCTCCAGCACTGCGGGGCCCAGTGAATGACGACATGTTCCTGGAGGACCAGGGGACTGCAGGGCGTGAGGGGCCAGAGCGGCAGGGCGAGGAGTGTGCTGGGCAGCTGTGGAGGCTGGCGTGGCAGGGACGCAGTGTGGGGGGGGGTGCCGGGTGCCAGCTCACAGGGTCTCAGGTCATGAGAGTTCGTGCCAACAAAAAGGGGAGCTCAGGAGCCTTTAGTCCGAGGAATGCCACCCGGTTTGCATTTTTCAACGCTCGCCTGGCGCTGTGTGAACAGATTGCTGGTTGAGGGGACCTTTACTCTGGTTGTGATTCTGCGTACACCACGTGGGACGTGGGGGCTGTGTTGGAACATCTCCGAGGTGCCTTCTGACCGAACTGGTTCTCAGCATTCACGGGCAGCGTGTGTGGGGACTGGTACCTGTGGCTCCTGGCTTGCCTTGGCCCACTTGGAGCTAAGAGAGTAAGTCAAGGCCAGAGGTGCTGTGAGCCCACAAGTAAAGCGGGTTAGGAGAAGGGAACGGTGGGGAGGGGCGGTGGCATCAGGGTGCAGGAGGGGTGAGTAGGGCCAGGAGGGTAGAGCGGCCTAGGCAGGTTTTACAAAACAGCCACCAGAGGATTCCCAAACGCCAGGGTCCGTGACAGGATTCACTGTTGCCTGGCCTCCTGACTTCACAGACCATAAAATCCTGAAAAGGATTTTTGGGGACCAGCATACAGCTCCTCACCAGGCTGGGACTGTACCGGGCCTTCTTCCTGGCCCGAACACTGTGCCACTTGGAGCCTGTCATTTGTTTTCCTCCACGCTGGACCCAGTTTCTTCATCTGAGAGGACCAGGGTGGGCCTTGCCAGCACCCACTAGGTGGCCCTCTCACCTAAGCAGGCAAGTCACTTAATTTCTCTGATCCGGTGTCATCATTTATGCAGTGGAGGTAACCTACGTCCTGCTCACTCAATAGCATGGAGGTAACAAGAGGGAAGTGGCTTTCAGAGCACAAATAAAACCCACACTGGATGGTCCGTACCCTGCACTGTCGGCGAGCGCCGCCTAGTGGCCACGTCAGAGATGACAGCTTCATAGTTCACAGCGGAGAGGTCCCTGTTCCATGAGGTCACCCCACAGGACTGCAGATAGAGATGTGCAGTCCCTGTCGTGGGAGGTCCCACGTGTGGGACCCGTTTACCCACCTTTCTGAACAGGGCGACTGCTGTTTGTAATGGGTCCTCAGCTGTCCATCCTGTTCTGTAGAGTTTGGCCCCAGCCCCACCCCTGTGACATCCTCCTCGACTCTTCCAGAGCTGTGACGGCACGTCAGCCAGGTGGGCCAGCCTCACCCAGCTGAGGAATGCTCTCTGACATCCTGGCAGCTAGCTGGTCATCCAGTCCCTGACAAGCCCGCCGCCTCCCGGGCCAGGCACCGTGTGGCTGGCAGTCCTCTCTGGCCACTTCTGCAGGCCCCTTGCCCCAGCCCAGGGCTGCCCTCATCTCTGGCCGTCCTCACCTGTGCCAACCAGCCCTGCCCCCACCTGGTGACCATCCCACCTCAGGTCCCCGGCATCCCCTGCTACCCTCTCATCCCACACGCCTCACTGCTCTGCCCGTGTCTCCCTCTGCTGTGTCAATCTTCTAGGTCAGAATTTGGCATATAATCAGCGCCTAATAATTGCTGAGTGAGTGGCATCTTTCACTGTTAAGAGTGGATTTCATGGTTTTCTGAAAACTACCCGCCCTGGACCGTCTATGCACCGCTCCTGGCTCCGCCCTTGGAGGCTGTATTTTCCCAAACATGAACCAGGCTGATGTCCGGCCTCCTCACCCTGACCCACAGCTCTGTGCTTTTGTCCCTATTTCCTCAGCCTCTTTCCTGTCCACAACCCTGGTCACTTGTGTTCTTCCCTCCTCCGGAACTCTTTTCCTGACACGTCACTGGCTTCCCCAGTCTAGGTGAAACTATGGGGTAGACTACGTTTCCTTTCCTCCCTGCACTCTCCCTCCATCCCACAGGCCAGGAACACGGTGCCCATCAGAACATCCTAGATCCTTCGCTGGGCACGCCCCTCCTCCATCTCTTTATCTGGCCTTCACTGGGAATCCACATCGTAGCACCCTGTGCTGGGTTCAGGAGACGATTTTGGTACCTTTTCCTTTCAAATTTAGCTCCCCGCTATCCTGTTCCCTTGGGACTCTGTTCTCATGTATTAGCCAAGTACATATGGACAGAGCATGGTGGGGGATCTGAGCACTGGGTTCTAGACTCTGGGTTTTGTCTTTGGTTGGCTGTGTGACTGACGCAGGCAAGCCGCCTGCCCTCTCTCAGCCTGAAGTCTCCCTATCTGATGGATGTTTTGCTGTATTTGGTCTCTCACATCTCTTCTGCTGGTTCAAGTCTCCGGCTGATGGCTCAGTGAGCATCCCTGAATCTCCAGTGGAATGCTGCTGGTGCCCAGCGTACGCGCACACCTCTGCAACAAACGGGAGACAGGAGTGGTGCAGACAGCCAGCACCATGGAGGTTCAAAGCAAGGAGATGTGACTTCAAGGACAGTGGGGAGACTGCTTAATGTAAGAAACAGAGCATGAGCTGGGCTGTAGATGGGGCAGGGGCCAGAGAAGGCACACCAGTGGGGAGAAATAGGACACAGCACAGTGAGCCAGGCACCTGGTTCCGGTTCCAGCTCTGCTGCTATTGGGACCACAGGGGGACTCCCCGTTTAATAACCTAATGAGGAGGTCTCAGACCAGGTACCCGGAAATTCCACCCAGTTTGAACATTCTGTAACTCTTAAGTGGACACACTATTGATTCAACACAAGAGGAGCTGATGAGTTGGGGAGACGGTGAATTCTGAGCCAGCGACAGACTGACAGCGAGGGCAAGGAGACGGAGCCACAGAAGCGCCTGTCACCAAGCTTAGGCCCGCACCGCTCTCTCCAAGGCGAGCTGTGCCTTTGCCAAATCTACACATCAGATGACAATTTGATTCTCACACTTGGATCCCTGTAAGCAAGTTGGCACCGGATATCTGAGCTGCAGGCCCTAAAACTGTCCGCTCTCCACTGACGGGAGGAATCTGTGCGCTATTAAAAGCATTCTTGAAAAACCAGGCAATGCTAATGTGTCTAAATTATAAAAACCAACCAGAAAATTCATTTTATCCTCATTAAAGTTGTCATCTTTCCATATATCTGTGGTGTTAGGCACCAGCTGGGGACAGAAGTCGTAAAATCCGGTGAGCAAGGCTGTCTCTGCAGGAGGAAGGACTCCGATTGGATCCAGCAAGACAGTCCTCTCTAATCTTGGGCATCCTCACAAAACCTGAGTGAATGGGTTAAAAACATTTCCCCCTAGCGGTCCTGTCTCTCAGGTCTCCCCTTTACAATCCACAGCACACATAATTTCCAGAAAGTTTTCTTTTTACTCATAGTCAGTAGCTTGGAGCTCATCTCACTGTTCAACAAGCACTGGCTGTTTGGGCCTCTGTGTCTCAGTCAGGCTGTCACTTTGCCGGGATTGCCATTAACCCCAGTTTAACCCAGATTATACTGAATTAGGCTTTAATGCCATGGTCTATGTCAAGAACCCCCTGACGTCTCCCTCGCACTCCCACCAGTGCCAGGGGGGGTGAGGGCCTCTACTGTGCTTCTCAGAGCATACCCGGGACTCAGCGACCATCTGGTGCTTGAGGCTAGGGCCATGTCTCTCTCACTTTCAGTGAAGCATCAATGGCTGGAACTTTCCTACTGAATTCAGCCCTACTTGGGCATCTCAACAGCCTCAGACTCTGCACGCACACCCCTCGTTTCCTCCATAGGGGCCCTCTGGCCCAGCCACTCCCTACATGCCTACTGTTCTCTTCCCCAAATAGTCCAACTTTGGTGGACTGTTTTGCCCTCTCGGGAAGTCTTCACTCCCATTTCTAAGTGCTGCCAATTCATGTCCACCACCTGCCTCAGGTTGTCTTTAAAACTCAATCTCCACAAGGCCATCAGGAATTAATCTTAGCTCACTGATGCTGCCATCCTGTAGGTACCCAGGCTCCCGCTTCCATTGGTTACCAGCGACATTAGGGGGGTTGCCAGTTATGGCTGAGGATTGATTTTCAGTGGCTGGTGGCTACCTCTGTCCGGGGTCCCTACCATACCTGGGGCTCTCTAGAG